GTTACTAATAGGGCATTATGTAAAATTGTGGATGTGTAACCGACGTGATTCTGCAATCTTCATTTGGGGTAAAATTGGGAGTTCATAACCCACTTCAATCTAATGTATGAAATATGATATGTCAAGAACTTTGTAATGTTGTGAACAACCAATAAAAAAAATAAATAGGGCTGGGGATGTGGCGCTCGCCTGGCATGCGTGCGGCCCGGGTTCGATCCTCAGCACCACATACAAACAAAGATGTTGTGTCTGCCGATAACTAAAAAATATTAAAATTCTCTCTCTCTCTCTTTAAAAAAAATAAAGATCATTGTTTTAAAATAAATAAATAAATAAATAAATTAGGGGTTAAAAAAATATTCCATCAGATTAACATCAAATTTTTTGTATCAATTTTATGCATGGTTTCTTTACTGGAGAAATGCATTGCTTACTTCAAGCAGATGAATATTGGGACTCTTATGGAAGTTTATCTTTTAGGCTTGGGTCAAATTCGTGTCCTTTAATTAAAAACCTTACAATGGAAAAAAAAAAAAAAGAAAGAATCTGTACCTGGAATCTGATTTTAGCCTCCACTCTGCCTCTCGTTTTTTCAAACAATGGAGAATTCACTTCACCTTGCTTCTTCATTTATAGGCTAAGGATCATTAATTCCCATTTCAGTGTTTTTATACAGACTAGAAGACAAATTATAGGAATTGTTCTATAAAGTGTTACATTGCTGCAGTCAGTAAGATGCACAGGGGAAATGGCAAGGGACTTTATGCGTTTGGGCTAAATTATTATTATTAATCAAGTACTATGTATGAAAAATAGTGAATACTCTTTTTTTTTTTTTTTAATAACCTACTACTTCCCTTCAAAGCCCAGACTTTCCCCATCTTGGACTGAATGCAATCCTAGAGCTTCATCTGTGGTTCTGTACTTGCCTCACTTCCCTCAAAATTTTAAAGCTTTGGAGGTGAACCATTTCATCATCATCTTTGTACCCTTTTCAGACTGGTCACCAGCAAGTGCTTATACATCTGGTGCTAAACAAAATCCCCACACAGGGGGCAGACACAAGAAGAGTCAGATTAGGAATTGAACAACTGTTAACACCGGGTAATTTAAAAAACAATTTTAAAGTTCTTCCCTTCAAAGAAAAAAGCAGTAGTGATATATACATATTTTTTTCCTGCAAGAGAATTAAACTGGGTCGCCTAAAAATTTCAGTAGAACTGGTGTCTTGCGTAAAAATTGCAAGGAAATAGGTGCAACGACGGAGAGGAGGGACGACAGTTAACCGTCTTTTGGTGGTGCTTAGGCCGCAGACCCCGTTACAGCAGGTGGGCAGCTCGGCGCAGCGCCGACGTGCCCGTCCCACCCTACCCTCGGATGGGGCGCGGGGCAGACAAGTGATCTTCGTTCTCCTAGTCGCGGTGGCCCCACTTCTGGTCCTGAGAGATGCAGATGAAGTGGTGTGAAGGGTTGGGCTTTTTTTTTTGTTCCTAAAAATGCAACGAACAAAAAAAAAAGTACAACAATCCAAACCCAACCATCTCATTGCTCGTCGGCTTAACTGGTAGACTTCCTTCCCGGGAGGTTTCGTGGGGGAAAGCACGGCGTTCGGTCGCCAGCGTTCCCAGTTGAGCGCGCGCAGCTCCTGGAAGGGAGAAGGGTGAGCAGCGGGGACCCGCCCCCTTTTAGGAGGGCGGCGGCCGTTGGAGACACCGGAAGGACTCTCGCCTCACCTCCCCCGGGAAAGGCCCGATCCGGGAGGCGGGACAAAGGTACACGCCGGGGGTGGAGTCCGAGGTGCCAACGGAGGAGGGCGGGGCCTGTGCAGCGCCTCGAGTCCATTTTGCGGTGGTGCGCGGCGCTTACCGCGCGATCTTCCGAGCTGGAAGACCTGAGTCCTTGCAGCTGCAGGCTTTGCCGGAGGTCAGAGATAAGTACCCACCGCCCTGCTCCTCTTCGGGGAGGAAGGGGGCGACCCTCGAGCCTGCAGCGGGGGTGGGGACTTGCCCAGGCTAACTGGGGCCTGCGTGAGTGGGGGCAATTTGAGCTTCAGTTGGGGTAGCTCAGCGGAAACCAGCTAGGCAGCGATATCGTGGGGGAGGAGCCGCCTGAGGGTGGGCGATTGCCGGCTAGCCCGGTGTTTATGATCCAGAAAATCTGTTGGGGCCCGAACACTCCCCCCAGCGCCTTCACACCACCTAAAAAAGAACAGGCGAGTGTGAACCAGAGGTTAGAGCACGCCATTAGACCAGGCATTGACTCGGGATCCGCATGGCGCCGGGGGAGGGCGCCCTGACCGCGGTGCTTCCTAGTACAAAGAGCTCCTAGCTCCCGGGCTTTGTGCGGGCGATTGAAAATTGAGGGTTAAGAATGGAGATCCTTTACAAATAAATGCATTAATACCCTCCTCTCTCTCCTTCTTCGCAGCAGCCTTTAGTTTTTTATTGTCAGTTGAAACGTGGAAAAACAAAACCCTGATTGCTTTGCCCTGGGTAATAGTAACTCTACGGTAAACACCTGCTTGCAGGGACAGAGGTAAATAACAATACTTTTCCCTATGTTATGCTCACATTTTAAGAAAAAGCACTCAAATTTATTAGACCCAAAAATTGAAATCTGTAGAATATATATGTTCACACCCACTTTTTTCATTAATGGTCTTTGTTTCATATTTCGTTAACTCAGAAAAAATAGAATCCATGCTTGGCAGTTCTTTGTGATGATCATTTAAAATGTATTATATTTAAAGATTTATATTGCAAACGAAGAGAGAGGCTTCAGTAGCATTCTTTAGAGCCCCGCCCTTTTCATGTTTGGTCAATTGTCAGGCTGCTGGACTTGTACAATGGGACTTGAGTTTTTCTATGACTTTAGAAGACTTTTTAATATATGTGTTTTAAAAGTACAATTTTATTTACATTGGCACTTCCTCTAGTAGAAATGGATGGAGCTGTTGATTAGCTGGTTATACTTCTTTCTTTTACAACCAAAAGATACTGGAACATGCTTGGCAAGCACTCTACTAGAACTGTCAAGCTGTTCTTTTCATTCTGTATGATAGGTTAGCTGTTCCTCCTTGCTACAACTTTTTCCCCAGATATGTCCATTTTGTACCTGGTATTCGTATGTAATATTTACTTTGACATCCCTTGAAATCACTTTTCAAGAGAGTCCGACTCTCTTTTAGGACCATTCTCTAATACTATACGTGTGCATTTACAGATTTCATTGTATTTATACATACATGTAAGTAAATACTATACATTTACATAGTTTAGCAGTTTGCAAAATTCTAATGCTTTAATTTTTCCAGTAATAGTGTGAAGAAGGTACCATAAAGACCTGGGTATTCAGAAGCAGATTTTGTGCTGCTTCATTGGAAGGCTTTTTAAAGCCTAATTTGTAAAAATCATTTAGAAGAGCTTCATTTTATGAATGAGAATACTGAATTTTTCAAAATTTGTGGTACTGGGAATTGAACTCAGGGTTGCCCTATCACTGAACTACAATCCCTAATCCTTTTTATTATTTTTTTTATAATTTATGTAATTTAAAAAAAAATTTTATTATTGGTTGTTCAAAACATTACATAGTTCTTGACATATCATATTTCATACATTTGATTCAAGTGGGTTATGAACTCCCATTTTTACCCTGTATACCCTAATCCTTTTTAAATGTTTTAATTTTGTTTTGTACCAGGGATTGAACCCAGAGGTGCTTAACCATTGAACAACTTCCCTAGCCCCTCTTTATATTTTATCTTGAGACAAGGTCTCTAGATAAGTTGCAAGTTGCTTCACACCTTGCTGAGTTGCCGAGGCTGGCTTTGAAGTTGTGATCCTCCAGCTTCCAAGCCACTGGGATTACAGGCCTGTGCTACCATGCCAGGTAAATATTTTAATTTTGAGACAGGGTCTCAAATTTGTGATCCTCCTGCCTCATCCTCACTAGTCACCAGCTAGGGTTATGTTCTTATGGTGTTGCGCCTGGCTTTTTTTTTTTTTTTTTTTTTGGTACTGGGGATTCAACCCAAGATCAGTTAACCACTGAGCCATATCCAGAGCCCTTTTTATGTTTTATTTTGAGACAGGGTATCACTAAGTCCTTAGGGCCTCACTAATTTGCTGAGCTGAGCTTGGTCTTCTTCTCTCAGCTTCCTGAGTTGCTGGGATTATAGGCATAAGAAATTTCTTTTTTTTTTTTTTTTGAGGGAATTAAATCTAGAGCCTCCAATCGTGCTAAGTACATTTTTTAAAAAATATGTTTTAGTTATAGATGGACACAATGTCTTTTTTCCTAAATTTTTTTAGTTGTTGATGGATCTAGTTATTTATTTATTTATACGTGGTACTAAGAATCAAACCCAGTGCCTCACACATGCCAGGCAAGTGCGCTACTGCTGAGCCACAGTCCCAGCCCTGGACACAATATCTTTATTTATTTATTTTTATGTGGTGCTAAGAATTGAATCCCAGTGCCTTCCACTTTCTAGGCAAACACTCTAGCAGTTAGCCACAACCCCAGCCTGCTAAGTACATACTTTACCTTTGAGGTACACCCTCAACCCTTTAGCATACTGAATTTATGACTCACTTTCTGAAAAGTGCTAAGATCTAAGAATTGGAAAATTTAGGTTTTTATGCTTATTGAGAGGTGGTCTCCATTTTGGGATCAAGGGTAGGCTCAGTTGTTTTTTTTTTTTTAAAAAGTTAAGTGTTTGTCTAGATAATTTTAAGCCCAATATTTCTATTTTATTCTTACTTTTTATTCTCAAGGTGTATATATATTGGTAATACACAGATACTTATGTTAACTACCTTAAAATGTTTTATATTTTAGGACTGTGGTTGTGGCTCAATGGTAGATGGCTTGCCTAGCATGTGTGAGGCACTGGGTTCGATCCTCAGCACCACAAAAAATAAAATGAAGATATTGTGTCCACCTAAAACTAAAATAAGTATTCTTAAAAAATATTTTATATTTTAAACTCAGGTAGGTATGGTAACATATGCTTATGTCTTGGCCTTAGTTTTTTACTAAGCTTTATAAAGGTAAGTTTTGTGGTAAGGTAAGGAATGGCATGGAGAGGTGGAGAGAATGGAGTACCCTCATGCATAATTGATTATATTTCATAGAGTGGTATATCCCCTTTCTAAAAGAAGCCTGGCAATCTTTTCAAGAGCTTTAGAAATGTTCTTACTCCTTGACCCAGCAATATCTTTCAGGGAATTGTCTAAGGAAATAATCAGAGCTGTGGGCCAAGACTTTTAATCATTTTAATACCCCCTCCCCACAAAAAAAAACCCAAATAAGGAATATTAAAACATATTTAAAAGGTGGATTATCATGCTTTTGAACAATATATAATGATAGTGGAAGTGTATGTTGATAAATAAAAAAAGTACAGGCACATACACACAGACACATGAGAGTGGAAGAAAAAGACCAAAATAATAGTAGTGCCTCACACTTGCTAGGCAAGCACTCTACCACTGAGCTACAACTCTAACCCCTTTCCTAGGTTTTCTGAATTTTCTAAAATAAGCACAAATTACTTTTATAATTCAGGAGAGCACAAAAGCATGGATTACCTCACCAATTTCTATGTTGTCTTTTTTTGTGGTAAGATTTAGCATGAGAGCTACCCACATAATAATCTTAAGCACATAGTACAGTGCAATTGCTTCTGAATTTAATGAAGTTATTTCTTGATAAACCCATCTAAATTTAAAATGCATTTAACACATACAACCTACCAAACATCAAAGCTTAGCCCTGTCTATCTTAAGTGTGCTCAGAACACTTACATTAGCCTACAGTTGGACAAAGTCATCTACAAAATTTATTTCATAATAAAGTATTGAATGACTCATAATTTATTGATTACATTCATTACCTTATGGAATATAGTATCTTGTTGTTTACCCTAGTGATCATGTGACTGAGCGCTATGGCTCACTGTTGCTGCCTATCATCACAGGAGACTATGGCAGTGCAGATAGATCACTAACCCAGGAAAAGATCAGAATTATATTTTAAGTACAGTTTCTTTTGTTTCATCGTAAAGTCATACAGTTTTAAAGCTGAATTGTGGTAAATCAGGGATGTCTGTCATTTACCACATTAAAAATGTTGTAGAACTCTTTTGTATGTCCTTTTTATAAGACAATTTTCATACCTTTTAGAACAATAAATGCTCTGCATTTCTGAATTTAGGATAGGGATTGCCTTTTGATGTATATTTGGCTTATATTTTTATCTTTTAAAATGTCATAGATTATCCATTTTTGTTATTCATGAAAGACACTACCATTGTCATTACATTGTGGGACCCAAGGTATTAAATGGCTATGCCTCCCTCTTAAAACAGTTCACCAAGATTAGGTGTGTGTGTGTTCCTTGCTATATGTTAAAGTATACAGGTATACTTTAACATAGATTACTTATATTCTGTTCAAACTGTTCTAGAGTAAATTCCCATAATGTGAATGCAAATATTTAAAATTTATTTATTTACTAGAGCAGCTTGAACAGAATATAAGTTGTTAATGGATCTTTATTTTATTTTCTTATTTATATGTGGTGCTGAGAATTGAACCCAGTGCCTCACACATGCTAGGCAAGCGCTCTACCACTGAGCCACACAACCCTAACCCCTTAAAATTTATTTTTATTATAAATACATTTCTTTCCTTTTTTTCCAGTACTGGGAATTGAACTGAAGGATGCTTTTTTAGTTTTTATTTTGAGACAGGGTCTCACTAAATTGCCCAGGCTGGTCTCAGAATTATGATCCCCTAACCTATCTACCCTATGTCCCCAGTAGCTGGGATTACAGATATGCACCACTGCACCTAGCTATCAGAAGCTTTAAAGGAAAATTCTTCTCCCTTAGAACTTTGACTTTATCTATCAGATTAATGTTACTCAAATTTTGCTTTCATCTTGTTTTGCAGTACTGGGGATTGCACCCAGGGCTTTGCATAGACTAGTGTTCTGTCACTTAACTACATCCCCAGCCCATAGATGTAGGTACTTTTCTAAAGAAAAGTTGAATTGGAAATTTTTGCTAGTAATTACCAAAATTCAGTAGATGCTTGGTTGTACCAACATAGCATTATTTATTACAGCCAACATAAAAATGATTAGATGTAGTTTTCTACTTCATATATTTTGTAGATCAGGTTTACTTAAAATAAGATGTACATATGAATCTATACTGAGCAAAAGGAACTTTGTTCATGCCAATTAAATTTCCATAGTGCATGTTTTTACATATTAAAATGTTAGATGCTGTATAAATAATCTCATTTATCTAGATTAATCTATAAACTGAATGCTAGACTTTGATAGTACTTTTTTGTTTTTTTTTGGTAGGTGGACACTGAGCCACAATCTCAGTCCCAATAGTACTTTCTTTCTTCCTTTTTTTTTTGTGGTGCTGGGATTGAACCCAGGACCTTGTAAATACAAAGAAGGCAAGCACTCTACCAACTGAGCTATATGCCCAGCCCCCAGGAGTATTTTCTTAA